CCTCTGCCTGTAGGGCATTAAGAAAGCGGAGGAAGGGAGGAGAACGGTTGGCTGAAGGGCTGTTCATTCTGGGACCAGTTGGATATGGTGTCTGCTTGAGACCCACTGGCACTTCCACCCCAGCTGCTCCTCTGGCTCTCGCCCCACCACAGCCTCTCCAGCACCCTCCAGTCCCAACTTCCCCTCTGTCTGGCAGGGAAATGTCTGCTAAATTTGCTCATCCAGAGGTTTTCCTCTCCCACCAGAGTATATGAGAAAGGGAAGGGCAAGGCTTCAGGCTGAGGAACACTAATGCACTACGAAGGGGCTTCCGATGTCCATTCAGGTCTGCGGGCAAAAGCTTTGCAGTCAGCCTGTCCTAGACTCCCTGTCATCTTCCAGCCTGTGGGTTTGGTGCATTAGGTACCTTGTCTCCCAAGGGTCACCCCTGACTCTGCTCTGCTCATGTTCTGTCCAGCCTGGCACAGACAAAAGGTTTTGGGGGAGTAGCTAGAACTGGAGTGGGGCCTCTGGAGCAACCAGAGCCCTTGTCAGATTTGTTCATCAAACTTTAATGGAGAGAGTAAATTTCCTGGAAGATTCCATGACTCAACCTTTATCCCTCAGTTGCTGAACATTCAGGTGACTACACACGTGAGGTGTTTTTTTGGGGGGGCGGGGCACCTATCACCCCATCTGCTGGGACCAACTACACTGGATTCCCCTGTGGTCCTGAGATGTGCACACGGAGGTGGTTCAGCTGACCCGGAAGGCTGTGCCCTCTGTATTTGGCCCAGAACGAAGCAGGATGCACTCCAGCAGTCACTGAATCCTAGAATATTTGCCTCTCCATTAAACTCACGAGAGCAAAAAGTTGCACTTCCTCAATTGCCCCACCTGTTCTGAGGCCTCCTAGGAACCTTGGCCCAGATCGCATGATTTTCCAAAGCCTTTTAGAAGGAACATCAGCCGGAGATCCCTGTGGTGAATGTTCAGATCAACCTGAGGTTGCCTTTTAGCCACACATGTATGTGACCTCAAGCATTGGGTCAATTCGTCTTGGGTTTCTAAACATCCAAGTATCTGGGATCCTTGCGAACCTGTATTTCCCTTCCTCTTCCATGATCCTCTTCCCAGCCCTGGAGAGGTGCCGAGAGGTCCATGGGAGAAGAATGGAATTTTGAAGCTACCCTGGACGGGGTCAGTCAGCTGGTCAGACAGAGATGCCATAAAACCTTAGTGGGGCTTGATCCCAGCATCTTCATTCAACTCAAAAGCTGACCGTGGGCTCAAAGAGGGACAAACATGAAAGGATATGGGTGGCTTAAAGCAGCCGTTTGCCACTTGGCTTCAAGGACCATGGCGCCTTTGGGGGAACTGGTAGATGCATGGAGGGTTCGCTCCCTTTTGGGGTTCCCAGGCTGGTCCTCAGTATCCTGGGAACCAAAGACAGGAGCCAGCCTGGAAAAGCACTGGAGGGACTAGTGCCAGGGGCCCCCCGCCTTTGGCGTGGCCTGGCCACATGCTGACCCATTAGGATTTTTCCATCACTCCTGTAGGTCACACCTTCACTGGTCAGGAGCCTGGCAAGGAGGGGGATAGTGATTAATGTTTCATGGAGGAGCTGCTGGGCATGACACCTTGTTTTCTTTAGGTTTAGAATACAATGAAGACAATGAATGGAATTTGCTGTGAGCTAGGGGCCATGACAGGGCCATCCTTGGGGGCTGAGGACCCACAGGGGGTGATGTTTACTGTCCTTATGCTGACAGTGAGGGGATTCTGGAGGTAGGGAAGGCCTTCCTTTGCATACAGGGTCATCATCTCCAGCCATCAAGAGGTAGTTCCCACCAATGCCTTGGGTCCAGGTGTGCAGAGAGGCCACTGGTGAAGGGTACCCAGAAATTTAATGAGCTTGTTCTGCTTAGGTAACTGCCTCATTCCAATACAATCCCATTCTCTGCATATAGGGTTTTGCTTGTTTTTCTGTTCTTTCCAGGTATTGATGGGGAACGTGTGATGGCACAACTGATCTTCAGCCATATGGGTCAGTACAACATCACTGGTTCTTAAAGAATAAAATACGCCCATCTGTCCTGAGCCCTGCCAGTACCCTGCCCCCCACTGCCTTCCCTGGCTACCCTGGTCCCTTCTCTAGGCCTTGGTCTCCCCTGGACCTCTCTGCAGCCCAGTACTTGAAGGGTTAACCCTGTCATCAGCAGGGAGCCTCTGGGACCTGGTGTAATACCATAGTTGTGGGGAAGTTTTGCTGGATTGATGCCCTGTATTTACGTGGCCATTATGTGTTTTGCACATCACCTATGAGTGAGAACCAAAACGTTCAATTCATATATATATGAGAGGTGCCCACCCAGGAAAGTCCAAGTTAGAAAAAGTGTGTGTGTGTGTTGTATGTGTGTGTGTGTTGTGTGTGTGTGTGTGTGTGTGTGTGTATGCTTATGTGTGTGAGGGGTGGGTGGAGAACTTAGTCCTGTAATACAATATTTGCACTCATCCTCCGATTTGTCCTAAGAACACCCCCCCTCACACCCCGACCACCACCTCAGTAACTCACTCATGGGAGAGCCATGGCACCGCTTTGTGTAAGGACACAGACCCAGGGCTCTGCCAGCTCTGGCAGCCTAGCCCATGACCAATCCCTGCCCCATGGTCAAAGGCTGGAGAGATGTCATCTGCTCACAGTCATGTTGGTGCTAAGAGATGTTGCCACCAGGTCACTCGGTTTGTGTGAAGCC